TGACACAAGCATATACATAATAATTATACAAAAAATTATACCAGTCTGTAGCAAAAGTTCTGGAGATTATGTATATAAAGTTTCACACTTCTAGATTTTCTAGAATTTTGTCAATTGAAAATAAAAGGAATTTGATTATTTGAAAAAACTGTAAATTTCTTTAATAATTGCTCTAAAGCCTACATAACAATATACTTCAAAATTTTTTTATATTATAATCTAAGATCTTCCAATCTCTGATATAATTTTTATTACATAATTTGGGCTACTTTTCATTAAAAACAATATTTTACAAACTGCCTTTTTTTTTTGAAACACACTGTATACTTGTTAAATAATAGGCATTAACAGAAAGGATTTGACCAATCATCCAGGTACTATACTTTATGGTATCATCAAATATTCAAATACATGCTAGGATAGATGGTATTTATTTACCAATTATCCAATACCAAAGTTTTAATTTGACCAATTATCCAGTTATTAAACTTTTAATTCAGTGTACTAAATCATATTGATTGGCCAGTAAGCTAATAATTTACAGTCACAAATAAGGTCTCTTGCCAAAACTCTAATAAACAGTTAGTGTGTATCTTGCTGAAATTTTTCCAATTGCCAAAACCCACAAATGAGAAACTCTTCCAAAACTTTAATAAACAAATAGTGTGTAACTGTCAAACTCCGCCAATTAATTTCTGGTGGAGTTTTGGCAAGCAACCATAGTCACAAAATATAAAAACCTACACAATTCATGATTTTGACAGCTCCTTTCAATATCAATAACAATCTGAAACAGAAAAAAGAAAAGCCATTAATATAATCTTTCCAGAGATTGGTTGATAATGAATCTAATCAATTTGATAAAACAAATTTTAAGTTTAATCTCAAATGAAAAGAAGAATATGAATGGTATGTTATGAAGAAACTGAAGAAGACGGTTGCATGCTTTGTACATGGTGATGAAACATCTTATCAAAAAACTGCTATACTCAAAAAGGTTGTGATTGGTTGAAGCATGATTCACTTATTCAACATACAAATACCAAAGATCATTGTAATCTCTATACCTGTGATAAAAAACCAAATTACTGCAGAATTTAATTTCAAGCATACAATTTCACATAGCAAATAGCAAGTAATACAAAGCATGGATCAAGGGATTTAATAATTATGTCCTCAACAACTAAAAAGTTACTGAAGAAAGGTTTATTTGAACCATTTGTTGGAATAAAACCAGCAGAATCAATCATCAACCAATCTGTCATATCTCCATTTAAATGTTGTTCCTATGTTAATGATGTTGCAGCATGAAACTATTTCATTTGTCATTGAAGATGCCTAACAAGTGAAATTAGTAATTCACCATGCTGGAGCATTTAAATTGATGATATTAAAATGCATACAAATGAAAAAATGTCATTGATTGTTTCAAACATATGTCAGATAATTAAACTGTTGTATGATTTTAGGACTTAACTTCCACACCCCATACTACCCTTCTGTTGTGATTGATGTTAAAATTTCTAATTCTAGTTTCAACTTCCATGGGTTTTATTGGACAATCGTGATTGTTGCACTGCAGAAAGGAGTCGCATGACGATTAAATAAAATAAATAAAAAAGTTTATGATTTTTTCTTAAATACAATGAATGATATCTCTAAAACTACCTATATCAGAAACAAAAATTATTAAAAGATATATTATGTATTATTTTTAATAATAATGATAAATAATAGAACAGACAAAAATATTATTATATTTATATATATATTTATATACTTACACTTCAAAAAATAAAATAAAAATAAAATAGGAAGAAAAAATATAAAATGAAAATTTTTATGGTGCAATTTTACATATATATTTATAGACATAATAAATATACATATAATTAACATACATATATATATATATATAAAATATAAACCAGCAACTTGTCCCCTTTTTTTAAAAAAATTATTTTTGATATATATATATAATTAAGAATATGTAAATATAATAACAATCAATACTTTTTTTCCAAAGAATCTTCAAGGATTTTAAACTTAAAAATATATATATGTATATAAATCATATAGTGAATTCGACAAACGGATTATGATTTGATTGAATAAGCAATATTATATATATATAATAATTTTGATTTATTGATGACCTTCTTCTCCACCACCGGCCCTTTGATTAACATTAGGACTTTTTTTTGTCTTGCCATGTAAGGCATTCTTGAGTGCACGCAAAGCAAATACAGTTAACCCAATCCCTTGCCAATCCTCATCTAACAATGCACGCAAATCTCCAACTCTCATAATATCTTGCTTTTTCAATTTCATTATCCATTCGTTTGCCTTTTCTGGTTCTCTATTGCTAGCTGTGGCTGTCTCTTTAACAAATTCCTCTATAAATACGTCATCAGCATATTCTGCACATAAACATTCATCATACAAGTGTAAGTAAATATTTTACGTGTTATATGCTATATACATTGTCTATACTATTATATTACATCTTATATAACATTTATTTATATTAATGAACAAACCTTTTACAGGAAATGTTTCTTCTAGTTCGGCAATCCATTCTGGTTGAATCATAGAAATCGAATTTTTACGTGGTGAATCGGGAGGAGGCGATGACTGTTGTGATTGTTGCTGCTGTGATTGTTTCTGTTTCTGTTGCTGTTGTTGCTGTTGTTGTTGCTGTTGCTGTTGCTGCTGTTGCTGGTGTTGCTGCTGTTGAATTTGTTGGAGTTGTTGTTGAGTTATTGGCTGTATTAAAGTATTATTTGGACTATCTCTTTCAAGTGATATAGGAGTTAAAGATCCATGAGAAGAAGTTTTAGGTTGCAAACGTGGTGACATTCCTGCATGAAAAGGCAAATTTGCAGATTGTGACGGCCACGTTGTATTGTGTTCTTCTTTTTTGAAATCATCCTCGCTTGATTTATTGAAATCGCGTAAAATTCTTTTTATTTCATGCGTAATTAATTGTTGATATTTTACATCAAGAACCTTCTCTTCAATCTAACAAACAAATAAATAAATATAAAGCGTATAATTATATTAATATTATTACTATTATTTGAAATTTTAATTTGTTTACCATTTCTTTTACTACATCTTCGGCAGTATCTTTATCAACATTAAATTCAAATTTTACTGACAATTTATCCATTCCTTTGAAAATAACTTGAAGTTTTAAATGAGTTTTTGTTTCGTCAGCTGTCATCAATACAACTTCAGGTTCAACTGTAAGGAATGGATGATCCATTATTTGTTGAGCCGTATACCTTTATTAATATATTATATTTATATCGAAGAATAAACTATTGTTAATTATACAGCTGAGTAGGTATTCAGCATATAATTTTATAATAATATAATATATACATAAACAAAAATTTTATAATAATAATAAAAACTTCAACCTTTCATTTTCAGTTGCTAAACAGTGACTTATTAAATCCAAAATCTCTGACTCCTTTATGCTCTTTAAGCTTTCAGGTTTTGTTCCCTTATATAATAAATAATAAGGGATGAGGGATTTGTATTATAAAAAAGAAATAATGATTTAATAAATTTTCATTACATACTTGGATGACTTTTTTGTATATTTGAGCAGCATTTTGACATTCGCTGTATGGGTATTCGCCGGTGACCATTTCGAGAAGACACATACCAAATGCATAAATATCGACTTTCTCGCTATAACCTTTTTCTTCGTACATTTCAGGTGCCATAAACTCGGGAGTGCCTACATATATATGTTTATAAGATGCGAATGAATAATTCGCAACAACACATTTAGATCACCGAGTGAACCTAGGTACAGGCACCAATATATAAAACCATGATAGCAAACCCAGCTGGGATGATGTTACTGCATACCGATGACGGTATACTTTTTTCCCAACTTCATTTTTGCTGTTCCCATGTCACCTATCTTTACTTCACCGTGCGCTCCGTTTATAAAAATATTGTCACATTTGATATCTCGATGAATTATTGGCGGGTTATGTGAATGAAGATATATTAGACCTTTAAGGATTTGTCTAGACCATCTTTTAACTATTTTCATATTTGGTAAAGAGAGCTTTCTTATGTACCTAAATCATCAAAATAGCGATAACAAAAATTATCAATAACAGTCAACTCGATTAAACCTACTACTTGACGTTTATATATATATAAATTTTTTTAAAGATCACACACACATGTGTGTATAATTTAACAAACAACTTACTCTCTTAATGTTCCAGATGTCATTAATTCTGTAACAAATATGAATTCATCATTTTTATACCAACAATCATGGAAATTAATGATATTTGGATGCCGTACTTGTTTTAAAATTTTAATTTCTTGACTTAATTCATTAAATTCTGCTTTTGTCGTCTAATTAGATATTATTATTAAATAATAATATAAATATATGTATATTAAAAACACACATATATCTAAACACATATATATCTATATGTAAATATATTATAATCTTGCTCACTAAAAAATAAAATAAATGAAACAATATATAATTATTAATTAAAGATAATCAATCAATCCATCACCTGAAAACAGTTCCATGCTACTTCGTATCCTTCTTCACGATCAATTCCTTTAAATACAACTTTATAAGCACCTTTGCCTAAAATTGTATTTAGCTGTATCCATTATAATATAAATATGTATGTATTAATAATGGATAATAATAATTGTAATTATAAAATTTATTTTTTATTATTACCTTTGCATATCTACCATTTGGACTCACTTCAATAACTATTTCACGATCGTGTTTTGAATGGTCAAGTACCTCATTTTGAGGAGTAATATAAGGATTAGAGGCATAGGATTCATTGTTGTGATGTTGTGGAACTCTTGAAAAATTTAAATCTGAATTATTATTATTGTTACTGCTATTATTATTATTATTATTATTATTATTATTATTATTATTATTATTGGGATTAGTATGAGTAGCGTTAGTATTAGTATTAATATTATTGTTAGTAGGAGTTGTATCCGTTGAGTTGATGCCACCAGTAGAAAGTCCATTAACATGTTGTTGAGCTTGGGGTATTATTTGTTGCTGCTGGTGCTGTTGAGGTATTATTTGTTGTTGATGCGCCTCAATATGAATTCCATTACTTTCTGGATGGTCTGCCATTTTTAATTTATATTTGGAAAAATAAAAGAGCTCGTTTAAATATTATTATGTGTATATATAAATATTTTTATTTAGAAGAGAATGTATAGGTTATTAATTATTTTTCAAAAAGTATTTTTTTTTTTTAATAATTTATTTTCTTATGTAAGTCGTTGATATGCAGGACCCCGGAAAACATACAAGTTATTTTTATTAATGAAGTCATTAAAAATTTATTTATTTATTTTTGGTAATACAGTTAGTTCTTTATAATCACAGGGGTATGTATTATCATTTATCAATCAACATGTTGGCTCAAAATTCATTTAAGTAACCAACCATCTTACTGAATATATTCCAAGATTAAAAAACAAGATTATTTGTTAGTGATTTTCGTGATTTAACTAAACTGCTTTCGAAAACAACAAAATTTCCCAACTGAAATTTATTTTGCTGGACAATCTACTATTGAATTTAAAACAGCAATAAAAATAATATAATCTCAAGTTTTGAAAAGCTAATTATTTAGATTACAAAATTGATTCTGACTCTATAATAGATATTTGTTATTTCACGCTGAAGGTTTGAAGTCTTTTTTCTTTTCAGAAACAAAGGAAATTTCCACTCACCTAAAACTGGTCAGCAAATCGCAATAATTAATCTAACCAAATTGTGTTGTATATTTGCATAAAAAAATCTGCAGATGATTTTTCAAATTTGGTTAGCTCGCACCCGCACCAGTGTCGTTGAGAATGTTGGGGATCGTGTCACATATTATAAATTTCTGCTAAATTTGTACTAGTTACACAACGAAATTTCAGGAATTGCCTCCTGATTTTTTGGCTAAAATTATAATTATGAGTTGAATAAAATCGTGTAACATTAAATATCTCGTCACACCGGACGCAAATTTTTGCTTGAGGTGATGGATGGTGTGTGCGATACTACATGTTGTCAAAATTAATTTGGGCTTTAACTCGATTCACAAAATCTCAATTTTAATTGCACCTGACGCAATTATTATTTTTTTTTTTATATATATTTAATATTATATTAATATGGCTCAATTAATTGCGTCAAAAAGTCATCTGATTGAGTCAAGTGATCAACCATATGTATATGTGGTACACCAGTTTTTTGGAATTGGTCTACATAACGTCTATCATTATACGGTACTCTCTATAGCGAATCTTTCATCTATGTATTCTGTATAGGAAGGTAGGATAAGATATTCACTACAGAAAGAGAATTTAATTTAAAAAATGAATTAGATGATTTGGTTATCAGCTATATAAAGGTTTATTATTGAAAAGAGTGAGCTATATATAGGACAAACGGACAAAGTGAACATTACATCACATAAAGATTTCAGGTGTCTGATTATTAAATATTAAAATATCAATATGATTTCAATGCTCTCGTCTCATCCCTTTAACTGGATCATTTTTTGTCTCTTTTAATAAATGGCCGCAGGAAAGAAGTCGTTGAAATTAAAGTTGTATAGACGGCGCAGTCAAATTTTACACAATATCGCACGGTCCCTAATGATAATAAGGAAATCTCATTTTTCCGATTTTACTTGATGTGATTTTAATTACATACAAAAAATTGCAGATAAGGAAGATAAAAGAAAAATGCAATTTTCCATATTATCATAATAATTTTTTCCTTCATTCCTTTTTATAGGGATTAACGGCAAAATAGATTATCTTGGTCCACACAAACTCCATCTCTTTGCTATTCAAATACGAAGCAGTACATGAAATGAGGGTAAACTTATGGGACCTAATTTTTTACTTGGCGTAGCTTTTATATTTGGTGATTTATGGTTATTACAAAGTATTGAATTAAATTTATGATTCCAAATTCAAACATGATAGCAACTTTGGATTGATTAAAAGATTATATCGAAAATCAAGTGTAGATTGTGTGGGCTGTTGTAAAAAGATGTGGTACTGCTGGATTGAATAAACTCAATGTTGTAAAGTAGAAAAGGCTTTCAATATTTTAATATTAAATCTAGAAGCATTTTTTAAGAAGTTAGATGGTATTCAAAATATCAACACTTTCTTTGAACCTTCCAATCCTGGTATTGTAAAAGTTCAAACCAAAAAAATGATTATTTCTAAAGTAACAAAAGATATTAAAGCTCTGTTGTTTTCGATATTAACAACATCTACTCCAATGATCACAAATGTCAACATCTTTGCAATAATATTTCTCCATTTGTGGAAGATGAATTCAAAGATATCACTTCTCTAAAACCAACAGAAGATACTGATGAGTAATTTACTCAATTATGGGTCTTATGGTTTGTGTTCTTTATGACAATCTCGTAGGTAATCTTTCATCAATATCAACTAATTTAAATATATAAGGGGCAATTTCCTCGCCCTGTGCCTTTTTTTAAAATATTTCTGATAATGCTATTATTCTTGTGAATCGTATTCATATCTTTTTATATAGAGATAATCAATCTTATGTATCATTGAAAAGATATATTCAAAAAAGAAAGTGAGAAATACCATTGATTAAAATTGTAGATGAGTAAGTGTAGAATTTCATTAAAAAGATTGAGGCTTTTAGAAAGGTTAAAAAAATTTTTCATTGAAATTATGATATTATTAATATTAAAGGAAATTAACGAATTAGCATTAGAAAAAGAGGAATGCCCAGAATTGACTGCCAAATTAGCAGAAATCCAAGAAATGTTTGCTTATAATAAATAATTTAGGAAGATAGATGATTAAAACAAGAAAAGACAGAAACAGGATTGACAGAAGAAGCATAAAATATCAAAACTGAAGAACTAGCCCAAAAGCAAGGATAACTTGAAGAGTCAGAAACCAAAGGAGATTCTGCTTATGCTTGAACTATGGACGATTTTACCAACAATAGTTAAAATATAAAAACAGAATCAAAAAAAATAAAACAATTGAGGGAAATAATTGATGCCGAATTAGCAGAGATATTTTGCTTACAAAATGATTGATGAACAATTACATCCCAACAAGGCTCTGCAATTTATTAAAATCACGATTTAAATTGTTATGCAATATTATTATAATAATAACAATCTCCCTCTCTTGCATTCACACTCTAAAGAGCACATTTTTTGTGTGTGATTGGTTTAACTATATAGCATTCATCATGTACACATGCGAATCTAATTTGATTTGTTCATTTCAAATCTTTATTTTATATTTTATGCTTGTAATGGGACCCGCCAACTATATAGATAGGTTACATACAAAAATCACGGTTTGATATAGGGTTTGACCCACATTGTGATAGACAATCTTTCCAATTTTGGTAATTTTTACCAACATTGCATAGAATTTTTAGATATTTGACCCAGCATGATAGTAACCTATCTACAGTCAAACCTCGTCACAGCGGACCTCGCCACAGCGGATTTCTTGTTACAACGGATTTAAATTTTGTCCCCTTTT